GCTGAGGGAGCTGGGCCTGTTCAGCCTGGAGAAGAGAAGGCTGAGAGGGGATCTAATCAGTGTATATAAGTACCTCAAGGGAGGCAGTGAGGAGGATGGTGCTGGTCTCTTTTCAGTGGTGACCACTGACAGAACTAGAGATAATGGCCACAAACTGAAGCACCAAAAGTTCCACAGGAACTTAAGGAAAAAATTTTTAAAGGTGAGGGTGACAGAGCCCTGGAACAGGCTGCCCAGAGAGGTTGTGGAGTCTCCATCTCTGGAGATCTTCAAAACCCGCTTGGACACAATCCTGTGCCACGTGCTCTAGGTGACCTTGCGTGTGCAGGAGGGTTGGACTAGATGATCTCTAGAGGTCCCTTCCAACCAAAGCATTCTATGTTTCCATGATTCTATGATAAACATAACTCCCTTCTCTGCTGTCATGTAGCCTCAAATGAACCTATGAAGAACATTCTCCTTCAATAAGGAAAGGTTCCTAGCTCAGACTGTAGCTCACCCTTCCTTCCTGTATTAATGTGAATGTCCACAGTCCTTGAAACTCCTGAATTAGAAAATACTGTCATTTGGAGTTAAATCTTGAAGTAGATATATTTCAAATTAACATGGCTATCTCTTCTGCACAAAGTTGTGATTCTAAACTGTATGCCATATATAAATAAGACAGCCTACTCATCTTGTTTAAATATTTGACCCATTTTTGAAACACTAATATAATGATCTTGTTTTCCTGAGATATTTAGGAGATACGTATCACTGCTCGCTGGTGCCCATTTTCAATGAATCCTGGTCATTGTTCTACAGAAGTTTATGAGTTTTTTTCTACAGGATTTCTTGACAATAGCTCAGCACAGTGATTGATAGAGAACATGAGACAAAGAGGATTTTTTTTTTTATGGTTCAGGTCCTGATTTAATAGGCCTTACTCAGAGGAAAGACATGTGTAAATCAGTTTCTCAGAGGTTTACCTTGCTGAAGACTGAGGGATCCAGACTTGGAGATGTGGTGGGAGTAATCAGGGTCACTTCAGGCCTCTTCTCCCCTGTCTTTCCCTTTCCCCATCACAAACAGTAGTGCAACCCAAAGTTAGGGATCAGGTCCCTGTGAAAGGTAGCGCCAGCTGTCTAGTCTCTGTGTGTGTGTCCTTTCCCCTTTGTAATTCCTCTGCCTCCCGCATCCCAGAAGGGGGTTCTGACAGATGCTCTGCAAGGATGGGATGAAGGGAAAAGGATTGGGAATAGCTGGGCAGTAGCTGCTGCTGCAAAGCTACAGTTACAGGGTTCAGTCATGGCCTAACTCAGAAGCTTCAGGAAAAATTTATGAGATTTTTAGTGTGCTTTATAAGCAGCACCAGACACTACTCTGTGTGCGTGTGCGTG